CATTCTCTCCTTGTGGACAAACCTTTCTCTGACACTCATTAAAAGCCACTCCCAGAGGAAAAGGGAGCCTGGCTCCCTTACAAAATTCTGATAAATACCTGAGTCCTGGGTCAAGGGTCCCAAATTCCTTGCCTCACCACCATCCAGTTGCATGCCTGTACCCATAAGGTCCCAGACCCGGTGTAACCAGGTTGTATAAGCCTCACGTCCCTGTCGAACAATGTCTTTGTGCAGATTGCAGAGACTTTCGTACATCAGGGACTTGGGGATGATCTCAAACATTGGCTCCCCTGTGGGTGGCGAGGGCCCTCCTTTCTTATCCTTGTCTTGGTGCTCTGATTTCATCTCAGACCTCCTTGAGTGTGAATGAGGGCAGTGGGCAGTCAGCAGGGGCTGGCCAGGCGAGCTGCAATGCCTGGGCAGGGAGCTGCAATCCCTGGAGAGGGCAGAACCAGAGACTATCTGGGCTTAACAGAGAGCTTTGGCTGTGCCTAAGAGCAAATGAAGCAGCAGCACGGTGCCCGAGACTCAGACTGTGCCAGAGCCTGGAGCGCTGTCAGGCAGTGCCGGGATCCCAGGTGTGGTTCTGGTCCCCAGAACCCAGGAATGGCAGCCCCAGCCTCAGAGGCAGTCAGAAAGGCAACCAAGTGAGAGCAGAGGGAGGGCACCCTTCCGGTTTCTCCTGGGTATGGCTGCAAAAAAACCCCTGCTGCTTCTTCCTCTGCCTGTGTTTGGGCTGTGCTGGTGGCAGAGGCAGCCAGGCTGTGCTCTGCCTTCCAGAGCCTGTTGGGAGCGGGCATGAAAAGCGCTGTGTGCACAGCAGAGAGGCCTGGAAGGTGCTGGCAAGAGCGTCCTGCGGGAGCAGGGCTCTGGGCTCTGGCTGGGAACAGCCTGGTTTTGCTGCCATGACCACAGGCTGGAGTTGAGGCAGGTGAAGAGGCACTGAGCAGCTTGTGTTTGTAGAGGGCCTGGGGATGCACCTCGGAACCTCCACCTGGAAACACACTTGGGGGAATAAGAGCTAAAGCTGGAGTGCCTGTCCTCAGAGGACCTGAAGTCATTCAACCTTGCCAGCTATTCTTAAGTATGTGTTGGTGTTCCCCAGGAAAGCTACACATTTGGGGAAATGCCTTTGGAGGAAAGGGGCTTGCTTCTCAAGGACAGTGCTTCCCAGGGAGCTCCCAGTGAGCAGGTGCAAGTGTTCCCCTTTGGCTCTCTGGGGTCTTTTCAGTCCTTCAGGCATGTTGTGCTTGGCAGAGGGGCAGGGCAAGGGAGAAGGCTGTGAAGAGCAGGTTTTGCATCCACCTGGACCTGCAGAGACCGACCCAAGCACCTGCAGCAAGGTGTGATTCCCCCACTTTGGACAGAGGTGTGAGCAGGAGCATCTCTGTCCAGCTGTGAGCCCCAAAGCTCTCTCTGAGAGCTGTGAATTAACAGGCCTTTACGCACACACTTTTCACATCTTCCCTGCCTGCTGTGTTTCAGCTCTTGGCAAGATGCATTTGCCCTTGCTTGGTGGAAGCTGCTGTGGCCCAGGGCCAGCACAGAGCTGGGCTGGGTGGGCCAGGCAGCGTGGTGGAGAGTCTTGGCTGATCTTGGTGTGTGCCTGGCCTCAGAAAAGGCTTGGAAGGATTGCCTCCCAAGGTGTCCTGCTCCTTGGCTCTCCCTGTGCATCTTGGAGAGCACAAGGTAGGCATTTCTGGCAGCTGGGCATCAGCAGGCCTTAAAATGGGGGGGGGGGGGGTGTTGTGGAGCGAGCCCAGCTTGTCGGAACTCAAAATGTCCCTCAGACATTTTTAGAGGTTCCAGGCCTTGGTCAGAAGCATTTGAGACCCTGGCAGGCAGCTGGAAACAGCTGTGATCTTGAGTTTGAACCATGGAATGAATTACCAACTTTAAAGGTAGAACAAGCAGTCACAGAGGGTTAGATGGTATAGTAAAAGTAGTCACAAATTAGCGGGTAAAATTTTTTAGTATTGTACAGGGGGGTTTTAACACCTGTACAGGGGGGTTTTACTTTGTACAGGGGGGTCAAGAGTTCTAAGATAGAAGAAAGTAGACCTAATCCTGTTCTTCCTCCTTCTTCTTCCTTACCTCCATGTTCTTAGTGATATTAGCATTTTTCTATTAGTTTAAGCTAAAGACACACTATTCAACGTAGATAATAGATATTAGCACATTATTGTAAATATAGTACACGTAATTTCTAGTATATAATGTTTATACCATCCCACTGAGGGGCAGAGCCCCGCACACTGCCCTGCAGGACAAACCTGCAGCAGGGCAGCAAAACACGTTATAAATAAGCAAAAATAAACCACCTTAAAAACAGCACAAACAAATTATAGCTTCTTCTTTAGCAACGAAGCAAAAAGACAAAAACTTTCTACAATCTCAAAATCACCAATACCAACAAATTCCGACGCAGCTGAGATACCCTGAGAGGAGCCCAGGGCTCCTTGCTCCCCTCTGCTGACACCTGAGCATTTGTCTGGTTTCGGGATGATCCTGGCTGTGTGAGGGGTGCTATGTGGACACGACACAGGCAGTCCTGTCCTGCTGGGTCCCAGCAGTGCCTCACAACAGTTCTGCATCCACGTCAGGATGCTGGCCAAGAGAGGTCCTGGAAGCTGAGGCAGCAGATTTTAAGCTTGTGCAGCTGCCTACAGGTCAAGGCCAGTGGTGTTCCCTCAGGATACAGCATTCCTGAGGGGTCTCCCTCATTCAAAGAAATTGGCAGACAAATGCACTGTCTACCAAAAGCTCTTTTATTGACCTGGCGGGAGGGCGGGGGTCTGCACCCCACTAAAATATTCCTCCACCAGGTATAAATTTCAGTGGGTTGATGCAGGAATTGTACCAAACATACCGTCCATCTTTACGCTGCTGAGGCAATTCGATAGGCAGGGGGTTGGAAATACATTGGGTCAGATTCCTATACTTGAAGCTGATGTCCAAGCACTGGCCAGGAGCGGTCTCGATGCCCTAAAGCAGCACAAAGTCTTCCTCATGGCTTCCCTGCACAGGGCTGACTCCACACTTGCCCTTAGTTCTTCTGGCAGACTATGTCTAAAGCTTTGTGTCAAGTCACTCTCAGGTCAAGTTAGGCCTGCCAGGTTTTTCTTATGCTAACTGGGGCTGAGTTCCTATGTATGGCTGTGCTAATTACCTGTTTACTTTTGTGACTTGCTTGTGCTTACTTATGTCAAACAGAGGCTTTGTTTCATTGCCAAAGGTGCTTGAGGCCACCCCTCCTTGTGGCATCAGTTGCTTTCCTGTGGAATGTTCTACCTCCCCAAGAGTAAAGAGGGAGCTGGAGAAAGAGCTTGCCAGGCTGCTCTCCAGCCTTTACCAGCACTCCTGGTTTAGTGGAGAAGTCTGAGCTGAGCCCAAAGGTGCAGATGGAACAGCCGTGCACAGGAAGGCTCGGTGGGAAGGATGATCCAGGATCCATAGGCCTGGCAGCCTGAGCTTGCTCCAGGGGAAGCCCTTGGAGCAGATCCTCCTGAGGCCATGCCACGGCACTGTGCAGGGAACCAGGGCGTCTGCTGGAGGGTGGGAAAGCTCTGCAGAGGGACAGGGACAGCCGGGGTTCCTGACAGGGTGCTGAGGGCTTCTGTGCAGGAGTTTGGGGGGAGTTGGTGTTAGTGGGGTGTTGGGGAAGGAGTTTTCTGGAAGGTGAGAGCTCTAGGCTGGAATTCGAGTCACTTTGAAGGCAGCATCTGTGCTTTGCCACAGCTTTGGTTAGGCAGGGCAGAAAGAATATTTGTGACTTTTCCTTTTCATGGTCCTGATTCTCCTGCAGGGAAGAAGAGGGGAGAGCTGTACTTTACTGGACAATTAGATATCTGTAGCAGGGGGAGGATTAGCCCTTTTGCCATCTACTCATTTGTTTGAGCTACTTTTGTACCACTGAGTGGACTTTCATTTCTTGAGAGCTTTTATTCCTTAAGAGACCTAGGATATTATCATCCCTTCATAGAAAACCATTTGCAAACCAAACAATGGCTCTTGGTTTTGCCCTTTTATTGTGTAGTGTTATGTTCTGTAAAGTGACCCTCAATGGATGAGGTTAAGGCAAATGAGTTGCTGCTTTGAGATGGGAAGCAGAATTCCAAATCTTCACCTCCTCAGGCCATCCCAATTAATTTGGGGTTTGCAATGTTTTGGAACCACTTGAGTTGAGCAATGGGATGTAAAGCTTTCCTGAATGGAGGATTCTTCCTTGCCAGATTTTTCTGTGCCTTTGTCGCTGAGGTGTTTTTGTGCTGAAGGCAATAACTTCAATGAGAAAATAATTTCAGCATGGAGTAAGAGCTTCTGACAGAGACCAAGTGTTGCCAGCAGTTGCTCCAGGTGTTCCTGCCAAGCAGGAGCACAGCCCCCAGTGCAGGTGGGTTTGGCTCCCTCTGGCACAGAAGCCCCCAGGGGCACAGGTCTCTGGGGCAGGAGACGGGCACCAGCGCTGCCAGGGCTCGGGGGGTGGCAGGTCTGCTTGGGCAGGGACTCTGCCACAGCTGCTGGTGTCAGCGCTCCCTGAGGCCCAGGGCTCAGAGCAGCATTCCTGCCCTGGCCCACACGTTCCTGGTCTGTGTCACACGGCCGTGCTTAGGATGGCCACCATGTGGGACGTGTCCCGAGGAGGCCGTGCCAGCTTCTGTGCAGGGCCCCGTGCCCTTCCCAGCGCGGCTGCGTCGGCAGCCCTGGGGGCTCCTTCTGCTGCCCTGAGCCCGCAGAGCAGGGCAGCGTTTGCTGATGGTTTGAGCTGCTCCTAAAGACCGTGCTGGGCTGTCTTGGACGCTTGGGGGAAGGGATTCCTTCCAACCTGAGCCACTTTGGGTGGCCTGGGGGTGCCCCCAGGGCAGGGGGCAGTGTGTGCAGGGGCCCTTTGTGACACGTGCAGCATGGTCACCATGGCATGGAACAGTGTGTCCAAGGGCCCTTTGTGACACGTGGTGACATAGGAGCTGACAGTGACAGGACCATGCCACAGTGCTCCGAGCACGCGTCAGGACAGGACGGGACAGAGCAGTGCTGTGAGGAGTCCTCGCACAGCGCACTCGTTCGTGTCTGACCCAGAGATTTCTGAGGCGTTACTCCTGCAGCTGACCTCAAGGCCAGACCACAGGACTTGCTGACCTGTGGCCTTCCTGAGGCTTCTCTTCTGCAGGTGCCCTCGAGGGCAGAGCGAGGGACTTGGTGCCCTGGAGGCATCTCCCATCCCTGCCACCAGTGCCCTTGAGGCAAGAGCACAATCCTTGACAGGAGTCTCCTGTCCTTGTGGCAGGAGCCCTCGAGACCAGAGCGCAGGACTTGCTGTCCTGTAGCCTTCCTCAGGCTTCTCTCTTGAAGGTGCCTTGCAGGCACGAAAGCAGGACTTGCTGACTCGGAGCTTTTCCGAGGCATCTCTCCTGCAAGTAGCCACAAATCCAGTCACTGACATGGAGCAGAAACCCCTAAGAGTGCCCAAGCTGGCCGGGGTGGAGGAAGAGGACAAAGGCCCTGGAGCTGCCCCAGGGCATGAGACTGAAGAGGTGGTGCCATTCAAGCAGCTGCAGGAGGGTGAGTGGCAGAGCTGGGTTGCTGGGCTGCATGGCTAGTGGCTGCAGCCAGCTTGGCCACATCCCATCCCATTGCATCCCATTGCATCCCATTGCATCCCATTGCATCCCATTGCATCCCATCGCATCCCATCGCATCCCATCGCATCCCATCCCATCCCATCCCATCCCATCCCATCCCATCCCATCCCATCCCATCCCATCCCATCCCATCCCATCCCATCCCATCCCATCCCATCCCATCCCATCCCATCCCATCGGACATGCCCATGGATAGGACAGAAGCTGGGCTGGGGCTGGACCCCGTGGCAGCCATGCTCCATCCCTGGGGCATCATGAGGCTCTCCCTGCCGGGCAAGAACAGGGCTGGGCTGTGTTCTCCGGCCTCTCCTGCAGCCCCTCAGCAGCTCTGGCCGCGCTCGCTCTTTACCAGATGCAGCCCTGGAGCGGACACAAGAACAGGAACCCGCCCGTGGCCGCTTCCGCAGAACAGCGCAGGTACCTGCGGCCATCCCCACCTGGGCTGGGCCTGCTGGCACTGCTCAGCCCAGCACCGAGTGGTTGGAGCACTCCATGCATTCTCCCTCTCTTCCTGCCCTTCTCCTGCAGACCATCCGTCAATTCATCACGTGCATTTGGCAGGAAGAGAGCACAGGTGTGGGCACCGGGATCTTGGCAAGCTTTCACCTCTTCAGTGCCGAGACCAGTGCTGCCATGCTGGATTTGCTGGTGGAGAAGGGTGTCTCCAATGCAAAGCAAGTAAGCAGTCTGGGGCAAGGGCTTGATTGCCCCAGGACTGCTGTGGCACATCATGCTGGGTGTGCTGGGCTCCCTCAGCCTTTGAGGCCCAGCCCAATGTGGTGGAAAGGGAAGCACTTCTCAGGGCAAGCTGGGCAAGTTGCTGCTCTGGCAGCTCTCCAAGTCTCCCTGCGCCTTCTGTAGGTGCCAGCCATGGTGAGGTACATCCACCGGTGGCTCACGGCCAACGAGTCTGCTGAGCACAGGCTGGACAAGGCCCTTCTGGAGCTGACCAAGGAATACCCCTCTGACGTGCTGATCACTCTCTTGCGCTGGGCCCCATCGTGTGACAGGCATGGCATCCCCACCTGCCTTGAGGCCTTAGGCTTCACCTGTCCCCCCACCCCGTAGAGCCTGTCCCTGCCAGACAGGTGGAGAGTTCCAGGAGCCTCTGGCCCCTCTGTTTTCCAGTCCTGGCATGTCAACTCCAGAGCCTGCTGCCATGCTCCCTCCCTGCCCCTCAGGGCCTGGACCCACGTGGGCTGGCTGGCTGCTGCCAGCCAGGGGCAGGAGTCAGAGGCCGGCCTGAGGGCCAGCGCGGGCCCCTGCAGCTGCCCAGGCCACGCTGCTGTGGCTGAGACCCGCCCTGACACAGAGCTCTGGCCCCACAGAGCTGCCGTGACCATGTGGGGGACCATCATGTCCTCGAGCAGGACCGCCGAGCCGGCGCTGCAGATCCTCCTCGATGTGCTGAGTGCCTGGCCAGAGGACAGCGTGTACACCTCTGATGGGGACAGCACAGGGGTCTTTGCCCTGGCTGTGAGTTTCTGGAAGCGGCCTTTGCCAGCCCCCAGGCCACCTCTCCAGCAGCTAGCTCTCTGCCCTGCCCCAGCTGCATCTCCCTGCCTCAGGCACTGGGCTGAAACCTGGCTTGGGGGCAAGGTTCTGGGCCACCAGGCCGGCTGCTCCCCCTGTGTCTCCCTTGGCCTCTCCCTCGCAGGCCGGGGCCATGCCACATGCATGTCTTGGCACTGATTGCTGTCTCTGGGTGTTTCATTTCTTGCAGGCAACAGTGACAATGTGGAGGGTCTTCAATCTGACCTGGTGCCCACCTGTAGTGCAGGTATATTTCCCCAATCTCCTTCTGCGTCTGCTCTTCCAAGCTTACATCAGCACGCTGGATATGCCAGAAGAGGTGGATACCTTCTGGAAGAGATGCCAGGAGCAACACGACCTTGCTGCCCACCCCAACAGGTGCTCCATCCCAGTCTTCCCAGCCTCCCCATCCCTGCCATGCTCCCAGGGCAGGAGCCGGGCCTCCCAGCGTGACCTGGGCTTTGCTCTGCACACAGCTTTGCACTGCAGACCCTGAAGGCCCTGCTCTGCCAAATGCAGTACGATGACGTGGTGCTAGCAATGGAACGCAGGTGTGCCTGGAACATGCTGCTCTGTGCCCACACCCACCACTATGCAGTGGGTCTGCTGGCCAGGTGAGACCTCATTCTCCCCACCGCCCCTCTCCTTTGTGCCCAGATCACCCCACGCAGTCCCCGTGCTCATGGGCGGCAGGGCCTTGTCCCCAAGGGAGGGATGAGCAGATTTGAAAAGGCTGGGAGAGGAGGGTGCCCTGGAGCAGCTGCCTCCCAAAGCACCCGTGCTCTGGAGTGCTCGGGAGAAGACCAGACCTCTGTGAGTCAGCCCTGGGAGAGGTTTGGCCACTCAGCTCAGGAGCAATGGTGCTTTTTCTCCCCCCCAGGGAGATGCGCCGTGTCTCCATCATCTGGCGCTGCAGGATCGCATCCTGCCTCTTTGACCTACTCAGCCAAGACATTTCAGCCTGGGAACTGCCCGCCCTGACGTTCCTGGTGGAGGTGAGCCCGATGGCCAGCGCTGCCTCGCTCAGCTGCCTCCCACGCCTCTGCCCTCTGGTAGCCGCAGCTGCCTGGGATGGTGCCCTGTGCTGCTGCCTTGGCTCAGCCCTGTGCGGTTCTGAGCTCCTGCCAGCTGGGCACTCCTGTCACTGCTCTGTGCCTTTCAGGTCCTGGACTGCCTGGACTTGAGTGAATGCGGTGAAAAGGTCCTGCAGATCATGACAAGGCACCTGAAGAGACGGTCCAGAGAGATGCGTCGCGTGGCGCTCAGAGGCCTCGTGGTGCTCAGCCAGGACCCCTCGATGGTGAGAAGGAGGCAGCAGCTGAAGCTGTGCTGGCAGCGTGGGGCTGGGGAAAGCAGCCCCTTGGGCTTGGCTGGGCTTTGGGAGCTGTGGCAGCTGCTCCCAGCTCTCCAGGGTCACTGTTCAGCTGCCTGAGTGCTCTGGGACAGGCCTTCGGCCTCTGAGCCCTGCAGCAGCAGCAGCAGCGTCGGGTTGCCCAGCCTTGTTTTCCACACAGAACCAAAGAATGTACAGCCTGACTGAAAGCCTTGGCAACCTCCTGCGGGCCGTGGATGAAGACATTGTTGAGATGACCGTCGTTGTTCTCAGCTCTCTGCTCTTCAACAAAGAGATAGCAATAGCCAGCCCCATCGCCCTGCAGCTGGCTGAGGCGCTCTGGCAACTCTTCGACAATGTAAAGCTCTGTGCCCCCAGCCATGGGCACCGGGCGCCGCCTGGAAGCCCGGTGCCTTGGGCCTGTTCACAGGGGGGCCTGAAGCAGCTGATGTGGAGGGGTTTTGCTTCCTTTCCAACAGGACAACAGCCTTGTGAAGCTGCTCTCCGTTCGCCTCTTCCAAGAGGTGATGAACTTGGTGGTGGCCAAGGGAAAAAAGCCCCTGAAGAAGCATGTGAGGCAGAGCCTGCTCCCACTCTTCTTCAACTGCCACGATGAGAACTGGGGTGTGGCACAGGTGAGGGCTCCTGGGCGCCGGGGTCCCCATGGCAGGGGGCTCAGCTGTCTCCCCACAGCCTGGCTCCTCCTCATGGGCTCCAGCTCCCTCCTGGCCTTGGCACAGGGACGCGGCTCCTGTGCCCTGGGCTGCGGTGCCATCTCCGGCTCTCTGCCGCTCTGCAGGCCTCTCGGGAAACGCTGCTTTCTGCAGTAAGGTTCCTGAAGAGAAGGGATCTTCAGCACCTGGTGAACACAGATCAGATGTGGAGCTTTGCCGAGCGCTTGGTAAGGACAGCCCAGAAGCCCCAGCCCCAGCCTGGAGAAGCCGCCTGCCCACGGTGCCCAGTCTGTGGGGCTGGCAGCTGCAGCCCCTGCCCAGTGCTGCACGCAGGGGCACCGGCCGGCGCCCCACACGCCGCTGCCTTCCCGGGGCCACCCGGGCTCTGCTCCAGGCTCCTCTGGCCCCAAGCCCGGCGCTGAGGGAGCCCCGAGGCAGCCGGGCTCTGCCGCGGGGCGGCACCGCGGCTCGCCGGGCCCTCTGCTCCCTGCGGAGCCCGGCGCCTGCGGCTGCTGGCCGGGCCTCGGGGCTGTGCGGGCAGGGGGAGCGGCGCCCGGCCTAGGGAGCGCCCGGCCGAGGGGCAGGGCCCACACCAACCCTTCCCTTTGTGCCTGCTGCTCTCTCCAGCTGGCAGAGGACAGGAGCCGAGCGGCCGAGCACCTGCGCCGGGCCCTGCCCTACCTGCAGAGCCCACAGGAGCCCCTGCGAGAGGCGGCCGTCAGGTTCATGGGTGAGCCAGCAGCCCGGCTCCTTCCCCGCCCCGCCGCAGCTCGGCCCCAGCCCCGCCTGCTGCCCCGGCAGCAGCATCCCAGCGCGGCCATCTGGAGCCCCGCCTGGCCTCGGCGCTGCCACCGCCCTCTGGCAGCCGTGCCCTTGGGCGGCAGGATGCGGCAGGGGCCCGGGCTGAGCCCTGCCGGGCCAGGAGGCCGTGTGGCCTCAGGGCTGGCAGCGCCCGTGGGCGGCAGCTGTGGCTCTCCAGCCAGCTCACGCTCTCTGTTCCCAAGGGATCGCCGGGCGCTGCCTGAGAGGACAGCAGCAAGAGTTCCGGATCCTCTGCAGGGGTGAGTGAGGCCAGCGGGCTCTCAGCGGGGGCTGCCGCTGGCAGCTGCCTTCCCTGGCCCGGCGTGCACCAAGGGCAGCGTGGGCTGAGCACACAGACCTTTCGGGGGCCTGTGGCAGATTCGTGGCCAGCACCTTCCAGCTCGCCCTTCTTGTCTCCTGCTTCCTCCAGGCCATGGCAAGAGCTGCCTGGCATGGACGTGGCAGGAGGGTGTCCCCATGTTTCTGCAGACACAGGCTCTGACGGTGGCTCTGTTCCTCTCTCTCGCAGCCCTTCAGGACATGGCGAATGACGCCAGCCCCGCCATCTCATGCCTGGCCCTTCAAACTCATTACATCAATTTAGCTGTGCAGGCCATTCCCTCCTCCCGACTCCAGAATGTGCAAGATCAACTCCGCCGGCTCTGGAAGTCACGGCCTTTCCCGTGTCGCCGGGGCTGGCTGTCCTGCTGCAGCGCTGTGGAGAACTGTTCCGCCAGGCTGCGTCTGCTGGGGCCACCTGAGCCTGCGGGGACCAACCCCTTCTGAAAGCACTTCCTTTCACCCCAGGATAGCATTAATAAATTGCTGTTGTCATACCCGGAGGTCCAGGAGCTTTCTCTTGGTGCCCAGATTCTTCAGGCCAATGGGGAGGAGTGGAAAAAGGGCGCTTGCACTCGGCAAGTTGCCCAAGTATGCGGTGGGCAAGGGAAAGTGGCCAGAAGCCCCTTGGCCTTTGGTGGTGCTGCTGAACGTTTTTCTTCCTGCTTCAAGTCTTCTGGAGCTGTGGGAACAAGTGTGTTCTGTGTCCGTGGAACAGCAGAAAGCGGCAGGATGTGTCTGCTTCCAGTGCTTCTCTTGGCTCTTCCTTCACACTGCTGGCCCCGTCATCAGGGACACAGAACGGCTTCTCTCATGCCAGCGTTATCCCAGTCTTCTGCATTTCCCCAGGTTCCTCCCAGCTTCACCAGGGAAATTCTCTGCTCGTGCCTGTCCATTCCCTTGCCCAGAAGGCAGCACCCGCTTGTCTTTGGACATGAGCTGCTGGCCACAGCCAGCCAGGCAGCAACCGGAGCATTGGGCATCAGATGCTGGGCTGATGTTCTTTCCCAGAAAGCAAGAAAAACAGAAGGACACAAGGGAACTTGACAGTATCTCTGTAAGAATGTCATTGTCCTCTGGAAGTCAACAGTGGATGGTGTTTTTGTGCTGCAGATTATCACTTCCAAGCAAAAATCATTCTAGGAAGGAGCAACAGCTTTTGACAGCTACCAAGTGTGGCTACCAAGTGCTGCTCCAGGTGCTCCTGCCTGCAGCCACCTGCAGAAAGGATCCCATAGACACCAAGGCACGTTGGCTTTGGCTGTCCTCTGGCACACAAGTCCAGCTTCGGCAATAGGACAATTAGGGAACAGCATGTTAATTTCAGGAGCACAATTAGAGAACATCATGTTAAAATTAATGAGGACAATTAGAGAGCACTGTGTTAATTTCAGGAGGACGATTAGAGAACAGCACGTTAAATTCAGGAGGACAATTAGAGAACACCACATTAAATATAACAAAGACGATTAGAGATCACCATGTTAATTTCAGGAGGACAATTAGAGAATAGCATGTTAAAAATAACGAGGACTATTAGAGACTACCATGTTAATTTAACAAAGACAATTAGAGAACACCATGTTAATTTCAGGAGCACAATTAGAGAACACAATGTTAATTTCAGGAGGACAATTAAGGAACACCATGTTAAATATAACAAAGACAATTAGAGATCACCATGTTAATTTCAGGAGGACAATTAGAGAATAGCATGTTACAATTAAGGAGCACAATTAGAGAATACCATGTTAATTTAAGGAGGTCAATTAGAGAACGCCATGTTAATTTAACGAAGACAATTAGAGAATACCATGGTAATTTAAGGAGGACAATTAGAGAATATGATGTTAAAAATAATGAGGACTATTAGAGAATACCATGTTAATTTAGTGAGTACAGTTAGAGAATACCATGTGAATTTCAGGAGGACAATTAGAGAACGCCATGTTAAGATTAACAAGGACAGTTAGGGAACACCATCTTAATTTCAGGAGCACAATTAGAGATCACCGTGTTAATTTCAGGAGGACATACTAAAATGCCATCAGAGGCTGTGAGACAGCAGGGTGGGGACACAAGAATAGATAAAAAAAAATAAAACAAAGCAAAATAAATAAAATAATAAAATTTAAAAAATAAAGTAAAATAAAATAAAATAAAATATAAAAATGAAATAATAAATCCTGACCCTCAGGATGTCTCTGAGCCAGAGAGTGAAGGGGTCAGGCGAAGGAGCTCCCAAAACATCAGAAATTTGAAAGAATGTTTGAATAGTGTGAAAATCCCCGATATATGATTGGCGTTTGGCAAATATTAAAATGAATACTGAATGCGATATGTGTTATGTTGGAAAGATATGCAGTATTAATCTCTTAAATTTGGCTGTATTAACATTTTTTAAATTTGGCTGTATTAATCTCTTTTTCATTTTAATAGTGCTGTATTAATCTCTTTTAAGTTTTGCTGTATTAATGTCTTAAATTTGGCGATATTAATGTCTTACATTTTTCCTTTATTAATCTCTTTTAAGTTAAGTTTTTCCTGTATTAATCTCTTTTGTTTTGCTGTATTAATCTCTTAAATTTGGCTGTATTAATCTCTTTTATTAACCTCTTTAACATTTTTCTTGTATTAATCTCTTTTAAATTTTTCCTGTATTAATCTCTTTTAAATAGTGCTGTATTAATTCTTAAATTTGGCTGTATTAATCTCGTTTAAGTTTTCTTGTATTAATTTCTTTTAAATTTTTCCTGTATAAATCTCTTTTTAAGTTTTGCTGTTTTAATCTCTTTTCAGTTTTTCCTGTATTAAACTCTTAAATTTGGCTTTATTAATATCTTTTAAATTTTTCCTGTATTAATATATTTTGAGTTTTGCTGCATTAATCTCTTTTAAATTTTGCAGTATTAGTCCCTTTTAAATAGTGTCGTATTAAATTAAGTCTCTTAAATTTTGCTGCATTAATTTTGTTTAAATTTTTCCTGTATTAATCTCTTCTAAATTTTTCCTGTATTCATCTTAAGTTTTCCTATATTAATCTCTTTTAAATTTTTCCTGTATTAATCTCTTTTAAGCTTCCCTGTATTAATCTCTTTTCAGTTTTCCATATTAATATCTTTTAAGTTTTTCCTCTATTAATCTCATTTAATTATTCCTGTATTAATATTTTAAATTTTTCCTGCATTCATCTCTTTTAAGTTTGTCCTGTATTAATCTCTTTTCAGTTTTCCTGTATTAATATATTTTAAGTTTTTCCTGCATTAATCTCTTTTAATTTTTTCCTGTATTAATCTCTTCTAAATTTTTCCTGTATTAATCTCTTTTAAGTTTTGCTGCATTAATCTCATTTAAATTCTTCCTGTGTTAATCTCTTTTAAGTTTTTCCTGTACTAATCTCGTTTAATTATTCCTGTATTAATCTTTTCAATTTTCCCTGCATTCATCTCTTTTAAATTTTTTCTGTATTAATCTCATTTCAGTTTTTCCGTATTAATCTCTCTTAAATTTTTCCTGTATTCATCTCTTTTCAGCAGTGTGGCACACACACTTTTTAGCCTAGAGCACAATATTAAAAGAACAGCAACAGACACCAAAATCAAAAAAAAAAACAAACCATTATTGCCTCCTTCTGTGGAAATCTCAGATTTTCAAAGATTGATTTACAAGATGGGGGGGAAAGCTAAAATTTAAACTCCTAAAATTTCAACACAACGAGTTTTTCACAAATAACGAAATCATGAATATGCACGCGCCTCAGCGATGTCACCCCGCTGGAATTACTCTCCTTTTTTTATCCTATTGCCATTATTATTATTATTAAACTTTAAAAACTCCAAACCGTGAATTCTGTTCCTCGCACTTTCAGACCCAAACTCCCTTACTTTGAACCCAAACTCACTTTTTCACCCCAAAATCTTCCCCCTGCCTCCCTGGGTTGACTTTTGAAGGTCGGACTCCCGTTTTTTTTTAAATCCAGATTCTACTTTTTAGGTCCAAACTGCTCAATTTTAGTGCTCAAACCCCAAACTATGGCCCAAATTCCCCATTTTTGGACCCAAACTCCCCCTTTTGGGGTCCAGACTTCCCATCTAGGCACCCAAATTCCCCTTTTTGGGGCACAAATTCCCGATTTTTTTGGTCGAAATTCTCCCTTTTTGAAACCAAATCCCCCTTTTTCGGTCCAAATTTCCCCCTTTTCTTGCTCAAATCCCCTTTTTTGGGCCCAAATTCTCTCTTTTTGGACCCGAATGCGCCTTTTGAGCCCAAACTTTCCCTTCCTGGACACAGATTCCTCCTTTTTGGGCCCAAATTCCCCTTTTAAGACCCAAATTCCATATTTTTTTTTTTTACCCAAACTCCCGTTTTCACCCCAAAATCTCCTTTCTTGGGCCCAAATTCCCCTTTTAAGACCCAAATTCCATATTTTTTTTTTTAACCCAAACTCCCGTTTTCACCCCAAAATCTCCTTTCTTGGGCCCAAATTTCCCCCCTCGGATCTGCTGGGTTGGGCGGTACTTTCCGCTCTCTTTCGGGACTACATTTCCCATCGTCCCTCTCGCCGATTTCCGGTGTAAAGCCCGCCTTTTCCCCTTTTCTCCTGAGGCGACTTCCGGCCGGGTGCCGCGCTGGCGCCGCCATGTTCCTGCAGTGCTAGGAGAACGAGGGCGGGGAGCGCGTCTACACCCTGCGGGTACCGGGCGCTTTTGGGGCGCTTTTGGGGGATTTAGGGAGGACTCGGAGGGGACCCGCGGTGTTTGGGTGTCCGCGGTGCGTGCTGGGAGCGATGCGGGTCAGTTTGGCTGTGCTCAGGGGGGAATTTGGGCTCTCCCTGACGCTCAGTCCCCACAGAAGGTGTCCCCGGACGGGGTCCCCACACGCTTGGCGCACCCCGCCCGCTTCTCCCCCGATGATAAATTCTCCCGGCACCGCCTGGCCCTGAAGCGGCGCTTCGGGGTTTTGCCAACGCAGCGAGGCCGGACCCTGCTGTGAGGCACCCCAGAAATCCCCTGAGGAGCCCTGAGATGGCTCCGAGCTCCTGGGAGGGATCCCCGCCATGAGAGAAGGTCAAATCACAGTGCCAGCAGACTGCACGGAAATGAGGGGAAAGGAACGTTTTAAAGAGGAGGAAAAATGAAATATTAAAGGTCGAGGGTCTCTGAGTTTTGGTGACCAAATAACTTGGGGTTTTCTTCCTGTTTTGGGGGTATTTTTGTGTTTTTTTTGGGTCTGGGGAGAGAATTTAGGGGTGCATTGGGGGAAGCGCTAACGGGGCTCTAAGGGGCGCGGGGGATGATGGGAGATGGAGTCGCGGGTATAACGGGCTCTATGGGGAGCGGGGCATTATGGGCGATGGGGTCGCGGGTATAATGGGCTCAATGGGGCACGGGGCATGATGGGAGATGGAGTCGCAGGTATAACGGGGCTCTGGGGCGCGGGAGATGATGGGAGATGGAGTCGCTGCTTTAAAGGGGCTAAGTGAGGCCGCGGGGCATCACGGGAAATGGATGCATGGCCGTAAGTGCGCGCAATGGGCGCCGCGGGGCATGATGGGAGCTGTAGTCCCGGAATTCTTTGTAACGGAGCAGTTGGGGGTCCTGGAGGGCAGGTGTGGGTCTACAGGGGCACCTGGGGGGATTCTGTGGGGTCGGGAAGCCCCTGGGGGCACCTGGGGAACTCTGAGGGGTCTCCGTGGGGCTCAGGACGTGACGGGAATTGTCGGGCCGGAACTCGGCTCTGAGGGGGTCTCTGTCGCCGCGGGGCATGACGGGAGCTGGACTCCTAGCTTTAACGCCGCTCCGTGCGTGCCGCGGTGCATGGTGGGATCTGTAGTCCCTTAGGTGGCGCTCGAAGGCCTCTGTGTGGTTTGGGGCATCTGGGCGTTCGAGGAGGCGTTCGGGGGTCCCGAATGGGCTCGGGGGGGCTCTCGGGGGTCCCGCAGGGTCTGGGGGGCTCCTGTGAGGCTCATGGTAGCGGATAAGGGGAGCGCTGTGGAGCGCGGGGCCTGACGGGACTTGTAGTTAGGCCGCCATGGAGCCGCTGTGCATGACGGGGCTTGTAGGCTCAAAGTCGCTAAAAGGGCGCCGACACCAGGCCCCGCCTCCAGGTGCTGTTCCCGGGTGCTGATTGGTTGCAGACAGTGATGGGCGGGAGCCTCAGCCAATGGGAGGCGGCAGAGGCGGGACCAGCCCATTCAACCCCTCCAGTCCCTCCCAGTAAAACCCAGTTCATCCCAGTCCAGGCTAGTTCCTCCCAGTACAGCCCCAGTGCCCCTCCAGTCCCTCCCAGTGCAGCCCAGTTTGCCCCTGTGCCTCCCAGTATCTCCCAGTTCTACCAGTGCCACTCCCAGTTCGTCCCAGTCCATCCCAGTTTGTCCCAGTGCATCCCAGTGCCACTCCCAGTCTGTCTCAGTGTTCCCAGCATCCCCCAGTGTCACTCCCAGTTCATCCCAGTATCCCCCAGTTCATCCCAGTCCTTCCGCGGCCAAACCTCTCCCCCGCCCCCATATTTGGCCACGCCCCTTCCATTGGCCACGCCCCCTCATTCCGTGCCCCGCCCCCTCCCATTTCTCCCCCGCCCCCATTTCCAGTTCCCGCGGCTGCTCTGGGAAGGTGAGTGGAGCCCCAGTGACTCCCAGTTCATCCCAGTAACCCCCCAGTAACCTCCCAATAACCCCCCCAGTCCCTCCCAGTAACTCCCAGTAACCCCCCAGTAACATCCCAGTAACCCCCCATCCATCCCAGTCTCTCCCAGTTTGCCCAGTTCTCTCCCAGTAGTCCCCAGTTGGTCCCAGTCCCCCCCGGCTCCCCCCAGTTTGTCCCAGTTTGTCCCAGTCCCCTCCACCCCCTCAGGGATCAAAGGTGACGGAATGGAGTGGGAACAGCTCCGGGAACTGGTGATACTGGGAGGTACTGGTTTGGACTGGGATGGACTGGGAGGGAACTGGGAGGGACTGGGGGGGACTGGGATGGACTGGGAGGGACTGGTTTGTACTGGGAGGGACTGGGAGGATTTCGGGGGTTACTGGGAGGAACTGGGCCCAGTCCCAGCCCAAACTGGTTTAACTGGTGTCCCCTCCCCCCCCAGTTCTGTCCCTGGCCAGAGGCGACACCCCGGTGAGTGACTGGGACAAACTGGGGCAAACTGGGAGGGACAGGGACAAACTGGGAGTGACTGGGATGGAAAGCCCAAACTGGTTTATACTGGTCCATGCTGGTCCATACTGGTCCATACTGGTTTATACTGGTCTGTGCTGGTCCATACTGGCTTATACTGGTTTATACTGGTCCGTGCTGGTCTCTCTGACCCCTCCCTTCCCCCCCAGATGCCTCCAGTCCCTTCCAGTTCGGTGAGTGCGGGAACTGGGAGGGACTGGGAGGGTCCCCAAAGTGTCCCCAAGGTGTCCCCAGGTGTTCCCAAGGTGTCCCCAGGGTGTCCCCAAAGTGTCCCCAAGGTACCCCCAGGTGTCCCCAAGGTGTCACCAGGTACCCCCAGGTGTCCCCAGGGTGTCCCCAAAGTGTCCCCAGGGTGCCCCAGGGTGTCCCCAAGGTGTCCCCAGGTGTCCACAGGGTGTCCCCAGGTACTCCCAGGTGTCCCCAACGTGTCCCCAGGTGTCCCCAAGGTACCCCCAGCTGTCCCAGTGTCCCTGTCCCTGTCCCAGACTGGTGTCACCGGCGCGTCGGTGGTCTCGCGGTGGCCGCAGTGCTGAGCGTGCTGGGGGTCGTCATCCTGCTCAGTGAGTGCCACCCCTGTCACCTGTGTGTCACCTGTGTCACCTGTGTCACCTGTGTGTCACCTGTGTGTCACCTGTGTGTCACCTGTGTCACCTGTGTGTCACCTGTGTCACCTGTGTGTCACCTGTGTGTCACCTGTGTGTCACCTGTGTCACCTGTGTGTCACCTGTGTGTCACCTGTGTGTCACCTGTGTCACCTGTGTCACCTGTGTGTCACCTGTGTGTCACCTGTGTGTCACCTGTGTCACCTGTGTCACCCGTGTGTCACCTCTGTGTCACCTGTGTGTCACCTGTGTGTCACCTGTGTCACCTGTGTGTCACCTCTGTGTCACCTCTGTGTCACCTGTGTGTCACCTGTGTGTCACCTGTGTCACCTCTGTGTCACCTCTGTGTCACCTGTGTGTCCCCTCAGGTGGGAAGTGCAAGTGCCGGAGCAAGGCCAGCTGAAACCCGGGGACATTTGGGGACATTCGGGGACAATTTGGGGACACTTGGGGACATTTGGGGTCATCGGGGGATTTGGGGACGTTGGTGGATGACATCGGGGACACTTTTTGGGGGATTTGGGGACGTTTTGGGGACCTTGGGGACACTGAGGGGGATTTGGGGTTGGGGGATTGGGGACATCGGGGACATTTGGGGGACACTTGGGGACAGTCTGGGGACACCTCAGTGTCCCCTCCCCTCCCCCGCAGGCACCGCCCCCCCCCCCCCCCCCCGGAGCTGTCACCTCTGGCTGGGACAGGTGAGTGTCCCCTCTCCCCTGGGGACACCTTGGGGACACCGAGGGACGGTGCCACCCCCTGACCACCCCCTCTCTCCGCAGGAGCCTGAGCTGTCCCCAGGTGTCCCCAAATGTCCCCAACAGGTGACACCGGATGGGGGGGAGGGGTGGCATTGATTTCCCCCAAATGTCCCCAAATTTTCCCCAAAATGTCCCCAAGAAAGGCAATGAATAAAAATGGGTGAAAAAAAAATGGATTTTGGTCACCGGGGGAGGGGACACGGGGACGGCGGGACAGCGGTGGCACCGGGAGGGGACACAAAGGCTTGGGGACATCGGGGCCATGGTGGCACCAGGAGGGGACGCTGAGGCCATGGTGGCCTTGGGGATATCGGGGCCATGGTGGCACCAGGAGGGGACACTGAGGCAATGGTGGCCTTGGGGACGTTGGGTCAGTGGTGAACTTGGGGACATCGGGGTGATAGTGGCCTTGGGGACATCAGGGCCATGGTGGCCTTGGGGATGTCGCGCGAGGGTGGCCTCAGGTCCCTGCTGGTGTCTGGTCAATGTCCCCGCGTCCCTCTGGTGACCGAGCCCACAGCGACGTCCCCACGTCCCTGCAGCTGCACGAGGCCGTGGTGGCACCGCTGTCCTCACGGTGTCCCCACAGTGTCCCCACCTTGTCCCCACGGTGTCCCTTCACGCCCACATCTCCACAACATCAGGGTGGCCACCATGCCCACGTCCCTCCAGATGCCACCACACATCCCTCCAGATGCCACCACATGTTCCCCTCATGCTCCTGATGTCCCCATCTCCACGGTGGACTGGTGGCCACCATCCTCGGCTGCCACCACACGTCCCCTGATGTCCCCCAGCCTCAGGGACACGACGGCAGCTCCGGGCATCCCCCCGGTGGCGGGCGGCCACCGGGCGCGCCTGGCCGTCCCCTCAGGTGCCGACGTCCTCGGTGACGTGGGCGTAGATCTGGGTGGCCCCCTTGAAGCTGGAGGCCACCAGGAAGTGGCGGTGGCCGACGGCGACGGGGACGAAGGCGCGGGGGGTGGGCGCGGGCAGGTCCTGGGCGGGCTCCAGGCGGCCGCCGGCGCCCAGGCGGAAGACGCGGCTCGGGGCAAAGTCGTTGCCCAGCAGGACGTAGCGGTGGCCGGCCAGGAGCAGCGGCTGGAAGACCAGAGAGCCGCGGGCCGGCACCTGCTGCACCTCGCGGAACATGGAGCCCTCCCAGCGCATCACCTGGAGATGGCGCGGGGTGGGGGGTCAGTGGTGGGACCATGGGGTGGGTTGGGTTGGGTGGGTTGGGTTTGGTTGGTTGGTTGGGTTGGTTTGGTTGGTTGGGTTTGGTTGGGATGGAGATGGCACCATTTGGTGGGTGGTGGCACCCTGGGGTGGGTGGTGGCACCGTGGGATGGAGATGGCACCATGGGATGGGTGGTGGGACAATGGGGTGGGTGGTGGGACCATGGGGTGGGTGGTGGCACCGTGGGTTGGGTTCATGGATCAGTGATGGCACCATGGGATGGGTGGTGGGACAATGGGGTGGGTGGTAGCACAATGGGGTGGGTGGTGGCACCATGGGGTGGGTGGTAGCACATGGGGTGGGTTGGGTTGTGGCCCTCCCTGCACTTCACCTGCACTTGGGGTCAGGGGTCAGAGGTGGGGCCTCGTGGCCCTGATGGGCCCCCATGGCCATGGGGTGGCCATTATCACCCTGGTGGCCCCACCTGTGACCACTCGTGGCCCCGATGCCCCCCCATGACATGGCCTTGATGGAACCCCATGGACCCATGACCCTGGTGACCCCCCATGACCCCATGACCTTGGGAACCTTCCATGACCACATGGCCTTGATGGAACTCCATGACCCTGGTGACCCTCCATGACCCCATGGCCTTGATGGACCTTCATGACCACACAACCTTGATGGAACCCCATAACCACACGACCTTGATGGACCCCCATGACCCCATGGCCTTGATGGACCCCCATAACCCCATGACCCCGCTGCACCCCCAATCCCTGCTGACCCCCCATGACCTTGCCGGACCCCCACCCCCCCACCCACCACGACCCCACCACCCCCAAGCCCGCCGCCATCACCTTGGCGTCGCCCAGGAACCTGGTGAGGCACAGGAAGACGCTGCCCCGCAGGCGGAAGTGCTTGGCGGCGTAGGCGTCGGGCACGTGGGGGATGTCGGTGTGCGGCGCGAAGGCGTCGCCGCTCCAGCGGTAGACGAGCGGCCGGCGCGCGGCGCCGCAGAGCACCAGGGCCGGCCGCCCGCCCAGCTCCAGGAACTCCAGGTGGGTGTCGCGCTGCCACGGCCGCAGCGCCTGGTGCGGGTAGAAGCCGCCCGAGGCCCAGCGGAACACGGTGCTGGTGCCGCCCTTGGAGCTGTCGGCCACCCCCAGGTAGAGGTGCCCGGCCAGGCGCGCGGCGGCCACGGCGTGGGGCCGGCGCAGGCGGCCGGCGCCCAGGGCCTGGTGGCGCACGAAGGCCGAGCCGGGGCCGCCCGAGCGCCGCCACACCCAGGAGCCGCCGCCCAGCTGGGCCACCACCAGCAGCAGGGTGTCACCCAGCGGGACCGGGTGGCAGGCCACCGGTGAGGAGCCTGGGGGGACGGAGGGGACGTCGGCGGGGACACGGGGGCAGCAGGGACACCGGGGACAGCAGGGACCTTGGGGACAGCAGGGACCTTGGGGACAGCGGGGACACTGGGGACAGCGGGGACACTGGGGATATCAGGGACCTTGGGGACACTGGGGACAGCGGGGACACTGGGACAGCAGGGACCTTGGGGACACTGGGACCTTGGGGACACCGGGGACCTTGGGGACATCAGAGATGCTGGGGACCTTTGGGACCTTGGTGGTTATTGGAGGGCTCGGGGACATCTGGGGACATTTGGGGACATCTGGGGACATTTGGGGACCTTTGAGCACCTTGAGGACCTTGGGGACATCGGGGCAATTCCTTTGTTCTCCCCCAAGGTCATTTTGGGGACCCTCAGCCCATTTTTGGGGTCCCCGAGGCCATTTCTGGGGGGTCACCCCAACTCTTGGTGTCCTCGGGTCCCTCTTGATGTTCCTCACCCAACTTTAACCATTCCCACCCCATTTTTAACCATTCCCACCCCGTTTCCCCCATTTGTCCCATTTTTTCGCAATTTTCTCCATTTTTTTCCATTTTCCCCATTCCCCCCCATTTCTCCCCCTTTTCCCCAATTTTCTTTTATTTTCACCATTTTTCTCCCATTTTCCCCTCCATTTTACTCCATTTCCCCCCACCCCCCCTGTTTTTTCCCATTTCCCCCCATTTATTCACTATTTTCCCCCTTTTTCCCCATTTTACCCTGTTTATCTCACTGTTGGTTATGATGGGGGAACAGAACCTCCCCCCTATTTTTTTTCATTATTTTTCCCCCCATTTTTGCCCCTTTCCCCCTCTTTTTCTTGTTTTTTTTTTCACTGTTCTATCCCTTTTTCCCCATTTCCCTCTATTTTATCCCGTTTTCCACCATTTTAACCCCATTTCCCCCATCAATTCCCATTTTTCCCCATTTCCTCCTTCTTTTTCAACATTTTCTCCCCGTTTTTCTCCATTTCCTTCAATTTTCCCCAATTTTCCCCCCATTTCCTCCATTTTCTCATAATTCTTTCAATTTTTTCACCATTTTCCCATTTCCACCCTTTTTAACCATTTTTTCAGTTTTTTCCATTCCCCCATTTTTCCCTATTTTTCCCCCATTTCCCTATTTCCCCCATTTTTTCCCCATATCCCCCCATTTTTTATTTTTTCCATTTTACCTGATTTCCCCCCTTTTCCACCATTTTAACCCCATTTCCCCCATCTACTCCCATTTTTTCACCATTTCCTCCTTCTTTTTCAACATTTTCTTCCCATTTTTCTCCATTTCCCCCCCATTTCTCCCATTTTCTCAGAGTTCTTTCAGTTTTTCACCATTTTCCCATTTCCCCCCATTTTTTCCCCATTTCCCCATTTTCCCCCCATTTTTTCCCATTTCCCCCCATTTCTCTCGCTGTTCACGATGGTGGGCACACAGAACCTCCCACCCCATTTTCCCCTCATTTCCCCCATTTTTCCTTCGTTTTTTTCCCATTTCCCCCCAATTTTTCCCACTTTTCCTCCCATTTTCACCAATTTATCCCCCATTTTCCCAATTTCCCCCCGTTTTTCCCCATTTCCCCTTTTCTCTCACCGCTGACGACGCTGTGGGCTCAGAATCCCCCCCCAAGCTGCTCCCACTCCCACCCCATTTTCCCCAATTTCCCCAAATTTTTGCCCCATTTCCCCATTTTCCCTCATTTCCCCATTTTGCTGCATTTCCCTCATTTTTTCGCCATTTCCCCCAATTTTTTTGCCATTTCCCCCCATTTTTCCCCACAATTTTTCCCATTTTCCCCCGTTTTTCCCCCATTTCTCTCACTGTTGAGGACGCTGTGGGCTCAGAACCTCCCCCCAAGCTGTTCCCACTCCCCCCCATTTTCCCCATTTCTCCCCCATTTTTTCCTCATTTTTCCCCCATTTTTTTGCCATTTTCCCCTTTTTTCCCCGTTTTTCCCCCGTTTTTCCCCCATTTTTTGCCCATTTTACCCCATTTCTCTCGCTGTTGAGGATGCTGTGGGCTCAGAAGCTCCCCCCGAGCTGTCCCCACTCCCGCCCCATTTTCCCCATTTCTCCCCCGTTTTTTCCCCATTTTTCCCCCATTTTTCCCCATTTTTCCCTGTTTTTTCCCGTTTTGCCTTTTTCCCCCCCGTTTTTCGCCCG